CAGAGCTGGATTTGGGGAGCACAGCTGCGGAAGCGTGGCTGCACGACCTTGGGCACCGTGACCTTGAGCACTGCATTCAGCCTCTGCCTTGGGAGCTTTCCCAGTGGGAGAACAAAAGGCTCCAACACTAGAGGATATAAGCCAACAGTTCACACCAGGGAAACAGCCCCTGAAGGGATGCAGTCACGCAGACACAGAATGCCATTTTCCAGTTTTTAAAGTGGCAAAAATGCATGAAATGTTAGCACCTAATATTGGCAACGTGTAAAGAAACTGGCAGCTGTCACACTAGTGGCAACACACTAACAGAACATAAATGGCTGCTCACAGGAAGCCCATAAAGGCAGGCCTCGCTGTGGTCCACTAGCCCACAACCAGGGACTTACCCCAAAGGAAAGGTAAGCAGAAGAAAATAGTAATGGGCAATGGTCTTAGAAGGCACTCACCACAAGCCGAGGGCTTCTCACTTTTTCTTTACAACGGAAAAAGAAACTCATTGCAAAAATAAATTTAAAAAACTGGCGACCCCTCCCCCCAAAAAACCTAGTAAGTTGTAATACGTCAAGTGCTAGAATATTATACAGTCATTCAACAGGATGTGCAGGAAAAGAAGAGGAGGATGCTATGAAATAATGTTAAGAAAGCAGGATACAGCCCGGCCGGGCATTGCTCAGCGGTTGAGCATCGACCTACGATCCAGGCGATCAGGGTTCGATTCCCGGTCAGGGGACATGCCGATCAATGACTCTCATCATTGATGTTTCTATCTCTCTCTCCCTCTCCTTTCCTCTCTCTGAAATCAATAAAGATATATTTTTTTAAAAAAAAGAAAGCAGGATACAAAATAAGCACATTGATAATAGCTAATATCTATGGACTCTTGGCTCTACTCCTAATTCTCTTCTAAAAACATCACAGTTGATCTTCACAATGACCATCAGAAATGGGTAGTCATCCCATCCTATGTCTGGACGAGGATGCATGGCACGGGAAGGTTTACAACCACCCGGCTGGAACTTGACCCCTCCAGTTGACTCCAGAGTGTGCTCTCCCGGCGGTGGGAACATCCTGCCTCTCAAGCACCAGGCACGCTGCAATTCCAACCAGGTCGAACTCTGCACACCCAAAACCAGAACTGCAGAAATGGAAGGTCCCTCTGAGGCAGGATTATGGGTGTTCTGGTTTGCTCAAAACTGTCTTTGCTACTTCACTAAATGATTACATTTTCATAATGGGCTTTCATGTTTCCTTAAGTACCAAAGGGCCTTGTAGAAAGAGACAGCAGTAATGTGGGCTCGGTCACACCATCTTCTCTTGGGTACTAATAGTAATAAGACTATAAGCCTCAAAAGCCAGGAAAACCCCTCTGCCACCTGAGAGACATCCCGGGGAAGTCTGAATGGCAGAGGACTCCTTGATCACCCCAAACACCGAGGATTAGACACCCTGGCTCCAGCTGCATGACAGTGCCCAGGCTGCCACCGGCACAGATTACTAAATGAAGCAGAGAAGACACTGGTGGGATATGAGGGAAGCATTCACTGCTTCGGGGAGCATGGAGTTGGGGTTCCTTTGCCAGGGTCTGCGAGAGTCCAGCATCTCTGGAGTGGAATCCTATGTGTCACATGCTGGGATGTGATTCTTAACCTGAATTTGGGTCACTCTGGGACACCACTCCCGGGACACCCTGTTTCATGGACTGACTCATATCCCTCAAAATTCCTATGTTGAGGCCCTAACCCCCCAGTGTGACTGTATTTGGAGGTAAGGCTTTAGAGGTCATTAGGTTAAATGAGGTCATAGGGTAGGACTTATAAGAAGAGGAAGAGATACCAGGGATACGTGTGCACAGAGAAGAGGCCAAGGAGAGAGCTCTCCCCAGAAACCAACCTGCCGGCACCTTGATCTTGGACTGCCAGCGCCCAGAACTGTGAGACATACATTACTGTTGTTTAAGCACTCAGCCTGTGGTACTTTATTATGGCAGCCGGAGCAAAGAAATACACCCTGCTTACCTGGACACACTCGCTCTTCTTATTCTGTAATGACACAGGAGGTGGGGGCAGGAAAGGGGTACACAAGTCAAAACCCCCTCCATTCACAGTTTCTCAGAATCCTGACTTCTCATCCAGAACACACACAGGACAGACGACAGTGCTGTCCCTTTAGGCTCCCTCAAATTTACAGCCACATAAAAAATAGAACCCCCCATATCCACACAGCCATTCCCCACAAACCACATTACTACAGATATCGGGGGTCAAAATGTGGACATAGCGACATATTTCCTCAGAGATTCAACTGTGAACTCTGGATATGTCTCTACTTGCCAAAGATAAGAAATAATAAAACTGGGTTTACATTTTTAGAAAACTGTGTGAGTAAAAATAAGAAAAAACAGTTCACACCCTGCCATCAGCATAACTCGAGTGTATTCAGAGCAGCCTCCTTAGAGAAAACACACAAGCAGGTCCAGCAACCTTCTCAAAGATGGAAAATGGCTGAGGAAGACGCACAGACCGTGGCCTCTGTACACCCCAAAGAGCAGCTGACAAAGCGAACCATTTACCTGAGAGGCGAGGCCTCAGCCCAGGGAGCAGGATGCCTACTTGGCAGCAAAATACTGGGTACCCGCTAGGGTACGTGAAGACACCGGGACCCCTGCAAATGTGCCTAGAATAAGGTGCCCACAAGCCCTGCTATTCATGTCCCCAATCTTAGGGTCACTGTCCTTTTCAAAACACATGGAAATAAGACAAAAACCAGGGTTCTTCAGAGTAGATGCACCTAGAGCCAGAGTCAAGCCTCATCCCTACATGGAGGTGCACCCCGCATAAAGAGAGGGCATCCTGGAGCTGGAAGGACAAGGTGTCACGTAACAGTGATCAGAGAAGACAGCTTCTCTCCCTTCTCCAATCCTTCTGGTTACCTCCAGGAAAAGTACCTGAGGTTAGCAGCGGGCAGCCCTACACCTCTCTAATGCTCTCACTTACTGGTGTGTCTTTTCAACAATGGTCTCAGTCACAGCTGGGACAGGCAACAACATCAAGCTTGACTTCATAACATGGTTTCCTTTTCACTGTCTTCATTTTTACAGTTACCTGCTATTTAAGTCAACTCGTTGTGGCTCTCCAATCACAGTAATCATATAAACTTTCCTCTTTAAATAAAGACTTTAAAGTTTTTTAAGTGTATGTTAAAAAAAGGAATTACAGGGCAAGTAATAGTACCATGGTAATAAACAAATAACTGAAACTTGAAAACCAGCAGCCTTAGTGCTCTCCTAGCCCGTGTGTCCCACATCCTGGGTGATCTATAAATATCTGCTCTGCTGAAGTCAAGGTGGAGGCGCGTCCTAAAAACTGCACGCTCTCATTGTGCAGAGTGAGGGCAGCTCATTCCCACTGCACCAGCCTCACAGTACCTACTCATTTCCTTCTTCACCCTTGAACCAGACAACACTGGCTGACTCCCAAAGGCCACTCTTTCTTCCTGAGCAATGAAAACCCTAATTGGGAGGGGAGGGGGCACACTGCCTCCCAGGCTGCAGGACTGATGTACACAGCCATCCGAGTGGGATCAGTGTGCACCTTCTAGGAAGGGTCCTGACAGCTGGGGATGGAGGGTGTCACCTTTTTTGTGCCGTAGACCCACTCAGCAACCTGGTGACACACATGGGCCTCTTCTCAGGAAAAATGTTTTAAATTACATAAAATAAGACACACAAGATTACAAAGCAAACAGACTATATTGAAATAGAATTATCAAAATACAAAAAACAAAACTGGCATAATAATATGTAGGATTCTCTATTATCACATTAAAAACTACCACATTTAGCCTGGCTGGGCACAGCTCAGCGGTTGAGCGTTGGCCTAGGATCCAGGAGATTGCGGTTCGATTCCCGGTCAGGGCACATGCCCGGGTTGTGGTCTCAATCCCCAGCTGGGGCGTGCAGGAGGCAGCCAATCAATGACTCTCTCATCACTGATGTTTCTACTTCTCTCTCCCTCTCCTTTCCTCTTCTGAAATCAATAAAGATTTTTTTTTTTTTTTTAAATACCACATTTTCAATCAGAAATGACATTCTGAGACTTTTTCATGTCACAGTTGTTGCACGTGCCTCAATACTTTCAGTGACATAGTCACCCATTTACTAACCATTTTCTGACCATTTTCTATGGTTTGCTGCTACTTTCACAATTAAGAAAATGCTAAATTTCAATCAGAGACCAGCGAAAAAGTTGTAAATGTTTTCCCTATGTAAGTTCAAACCCTTGAATCCTATCTATGGAAACAGAGGCAGTTTCTCCTCTGCCCCCACGTCCTTCCTGCTAGCTGGCATAAGGACAGGACGGCCGGAGCTGGAACAGTCATTTGGACTCTGAAGTAAGACAGAAGCCCTGGACTCTGACAACCTGGAGTCCACGCCAGCCCAGCTGCCTACCTCTAGACAGATCTGTCTATCTCGTTAAGACACAGTGGGTTCACTCTGTCTTATATGAAGCTACTCAACCCTAATCTTAATTGCCCTATCTCTAATACCTTTCCTGGGTGGTGAGGCTGGAAACAGTTCGAACCTGATTACTAGTAACTCTCATTCATCTTTGAGAGACACACTGTCCCTTACTTATGAAATGATTACTCCAGAACTGCAAAGGAAACCTGATTACACAGCCCCTCTGTAGCTGACAGCCTTCCAGGAGGTGAACTCCAAAACCTTGAACAAGGGAAGGTTGCCCTCTAACCCAGTCCTGCGCCACTCCGGGAGCATGTCCCGGAAAGTGTGCCCAAGCCCAAGCATCACGTGCAACCATAGCTCAGCAAGTCTATAGCCACGCACTGCATTCTAAGACCACGACCAGGGATACACACACCTGCCTTGACCCCACACTTCAAGAGGTCCACAGTTGTGTAGGAGGAGCACAGAGGTGCTGCTGTGACCCAAAGGCCCAGAAGTTGTCCCAGTATTGGCAAAGGCAACTCAGAAAAGTACTTACTAATTGTCATAGACTCCGGCACTGAGGCAGAAGGTAAGAGGCTGCTCAGAGGACTTCCTTGGCCTGGAGGACTGGCTTCCACACTAGGAAAAGGCAGGCAGAAGGAAGTTAAAGTCAATGACTTAAAATGCACAACTGTACCACTCAAACACTAGCTGGTGCTAAGTTTACTCATCTGTGCCCACTAGGAGCAACAGAAGGCAGCCCTTGAAATTAGTCAATCCTTATTATTTGCAATTCCTTACTTACAAATTTACCCGCCCACTAAAATTTATTTGTAGCCCCAAAATCCATATTCAAAGTGATTCCGTGCTCACTCCTGCACAGGGGCAGGTCCCCAGATGTGCCTGCTCCCAGAAGACACCAACAAGGTGAGCTCTGCCTTCTTCTTTCAGCTGTGATACTGTAAGTGTGTCCTTTGGGCAGGTTATTTAGCACCACATTTCTCACATTTCTTGGTGTTTGCTATCTAAAATGGCCCCAAGCATGGTGCTAAAGTGCTGTCTGGTGTCCCCAAGCACAAGAAGGCTGTGATGTCCACTGTGGAGAAAGCACGTCTCAGGTAACCTTTTGTTCAAGCAGGAGTTACAGTGTTATTGGCCATGAGTTCAATGTCAATGAATCAACAATATATGTTAAATAAGGTGTCTTAAAACAGGAGCAGGCATAAAACTAAGTTATGTAACAACTGGCTGACAAAAATGCTGTGACCAGAGACTCCCAGGAAACTAACTCAGTGTTTCCGCCAGAGCAATGGCTCAATCTGCACAGTAACTATATAGAACACAACTGCCACAGATAACGAGACTGACTCTATATTTACAAAGAACTTGCAACATGAGAAAATAACGCATCTTTCATGAAAACAGCATAGTATGGTTCACACACATACACACACACACACACACACACTCCCCACCAGCAGAAAAAGGACCAAAATGTCAACAATGAAATAAAGGGGTTAAAAGTGATTATTTTCAATTAATGCTGCATCCAGTTTTTCTAAGATAACCAGCAACAAGGACGAGGAGTCCTGGATGGATGGGGGGCACCAGTCCTCCCTGACACTACTCATTGGTACAAGCCTCCTGCAGGCAGTGCCGTTTCAGAGCAGAGCCCATCCACGCAGGGTGAGGCCACACCACCAAGCATGGCGCAGGGCAGTGGTGGCGCCCAGCCTGGAGCTGAGCTTGCAAATGGACATGGTATCTCCCTGAGATGCCAAATTAAAACCACTAAGAGAAAGAAGGAAACACAGGAACAACAAGAATCATACAGAAGAGAGACTTCACTCCACCACCACACAGCCAAGGACTCTGGGCAACTCAAAGTCTTCGAGATACTTTAATTTGAAAAAGGAAAACTGCTATGGCACTTATTACTGTAGGCCAGACTAGGCACTTCACAAACATATGATATCAAGTGGCTTAAATATTATATATAACATTAACTATTCTATATCATCATCAAGTATTAAAATTAGCAAACAGTGACAGAAGAGATACCCAGATTGGGCCCCAGAAATGTACAAAGTAAAGGTGATATGCAAATGAAGGTTGACAAATCCTATTTCTTACAGAGCCTCTCATGCTCTTCGACCCGACAACTCCATGTTTTGTGATGTTAAGACTAAACCTGAACACAAAGAAGGCCTTGCCCTTCAATCCTAGCAGGTGCCCTCCTATCTTTAAAAAAGAATAAAATGCTAAATAAAATCCAATCCCAAAAGGTAACGTGGTTTCTGAACACTAACCTGTACCGAGGTCCGGGCTCCGGGAGAGTGTGGTCCTCGGGTCCTGCCCCATTCTCCAGGCTGCCGAGGGGCGCATCTGTGAACAGAGCACAATCACAGAGGTAAGGCCAGGTTTCTGTTTTCATTTCATTTTCTCCAGTGCGGACACTGGCTCATCTGCTAAACCAGTTGACTTAGAAATGTTTTCCTCATCAGTACACTGGATTTTTATCTGCTACTCGTTTCATTTTTTCATCCATAATCTCAGACTTTGCATCAGTCACTGAAGATGGCCCCAACCATTTTTACTTTAGCTGCCTGGAATTACCCATGAAGTGCATGTTCAGAGCCAACCTCAGAATCAGGGAAGAACAAAATCAGCTTTCTGTTAGACAAAGCTGCTCCTGCCTGTAGTGGCTCACAGCAGACACAAGAGGGCAGCACAGCCTAACCACTGACAGTGTCTGCTCAGGTCAAAACAAAGCGACTGCCGATTTCTAAAAAGCCACTTGCCCTGCATTCAGTGGCATGTGGAAAGGCATGTGGAAGAAGTGAGGTCACAAGTAATCTTTAGAAACAATAGGCAAGAAGCACTAAAGATTTTCATAAGTGTACCAGCTGCTGCTCAAGTCTCTTTCTGGGAAAAAACAAATTTTTTGCCTCTTGGGTTAGATGGTGACATTAAAGCCAGTTTCACCCAGAACATTTGCTCACTGGAGAAACTTCTGGCTTGCCAATGCCCACAACACAGCCAGGCCTGGATCGGAACAGGGGACACAGATTGGAACGGAGGGAACAGATCTGGTTCCCTAAGCTGTCCATCACAGCCTTCTCCGTGTTGTTCTTTCTGTTTATGCTAGTTTCGTACCGCTCAAGACTCCCTAGCTCTTAAGGGGTTCGGCTAAGGGGACTCTAAAGGAAAATGGTTTTCACCTTTTTCACCCTGCTGTCACCATCAAGCTATTCTGCATACTCCTACCTCTTTCCAGTAGTTCCAAGGGGAAGAGAGAGTGTCTACTTCGCCACCTCCCCTTCCTTGCTCCCTGGTATTGTGGTTAGTTAAGATTGAGGTCTCGCCCTGGCCAGTTTGGCTCAGTGGTTAGAGCGTCAGTCTGCGGACTGGAAGGTCGTGGGTTTGATTCCTGGTAAAGGGAATGTACCTCAGTTGTGGGTCCTGGTCAGGGCGTGTGCAGGAGGCAACTGATTGATGTGTCTCTCTCATCGATGTCTCTCTCTCTCCCTCTGCTCCTCTCTCCTACCTCCCTCCCTTCCACTCTCTCTGAAAATCAGTGTAAAAAAATATCCTCAGGTGAGGGTTAAAACAAAACAGAAGACTGAGGGCTATGCCTGGGTACAAGCCTTGCTCCCAACTTTAATTCAGCAAGTTACCTACGCTCTTTGTGCCTCGGTTTCTTCATCTATGAAATAGGATGACACTACTACCTGCCATATGGCATTTTAATAATGTCTACCACATAATACAGTAGTAAAACGTGTAAAATTCAGTGAGAACTCGGTGAGCGAGGGCTAGCATCAACACACCCTATAACTGAGCCTGCCTGCCACAGGCTCTCACCTTCCCAGTCACCTGGAAGTACTCTCAAAGGACCCCAAAGAGCTCTTCCCTCGATCCCCCTCCCACCTTCCTGCCGCCCAAAACAAGACTGAGCAAACACTCTTCCTTGGAGCGCCCCTTTCTCAGCCTTCGTACAATGATCTTCGGTCCTCCTGCCCCCACCATCTTTTTCTTCAATTCCTGAGCAAAGGTGTCCCGGAAGTACAGAGCCGCGGTCTCCACCACCCTGGTAAATCCAGCAAGGTCTTAACTGCAGACTTCACCTCTGCAAAGATAACTCACCTCTGGCTAGGACCTGAATCTTGAATCCTGGCCCCACATCTCTAACTGCCCACCAGAAATCTCCACTGGGATGTCCCACTGGGCCACCAACTGATCATGACCTTCAAACCCACTCTTCTGTCACCACTTCCCAGTGGCTGTAACCTCAGAAGAGCGCGGCATTCACCCTCCCTCCCATCACAGAGCTAGTGGTGCAGAGACCTGCCAGCCCCACCTAGTTACCTCTCACTCCTTGTTTACAAGCCATTTTCACCCTAGTTCAAAGGCTTCATGCCCTCTAGGGGTCTCCTGCAGCAGGTCACCCCAGATCATCTCACCCTCTCTAATGTGACACACACACAGCTGTCAGATTCTGCTCCCTGAAGCAAAGACGGGGAATCCAACATACACATAGAAACCCACAGTTGGAGCAAAAGCCAACATCGCCCACCAGCATCCCAGATACAACATCAACTCAGCCCAGGTGGATTTCCCTTCATAATACATGACCAGGACCTGCTGACATCTGCAGTAGGCTGAGGCCCTGGAGTCACAGAGCAGAAGGAGACGCAGACTTCTCACTTTCTCACTCATCTGCCAGGTCCAAGGCAGGTACTGCTACTGTCTTAATTTTATAAATGAGGAAACAGACTGCAAGGACTTAAGTTATTTGTCCAAGATCACACAGCTGAAGTGCGAGGATCTAAACCTGAGTCTGCCCAGCGACAGGGCTGAGCCCTTGCCCACTTCAGTCTCTCGTTCAGCTGATCTGAAATATCTGCTTTTCCCTCTACACGTTCCTGCCACTATTCCTCTGTTCACACCGCATCCCCAACCAGGTATCATTTTCCACTGCCAGATGTGCACTCCAGACCACATGCCACATCTCCACCTACTGCACCCATCCACTCATCACCAGGAAAGGCTTCCTGAATCCAGCTGTGAGCCTGGCTCTGGCTGGAGTCAGGGTGACACTTGAATCAAGACAAACATGGTCCCTGTGCTCAAGGACCTCAAAAACTAGTGGGGACGGGGGTGAGCATTATCAAGTAATTATACAAATACACGATCACAAACATAATCACAAAAATACAGAGCAATATGGACACAGCAGATTCACAGCAGCATAAAGCATGAGGCTGGCCTGCCTGGGGAGTGGACAGAGGAGCCCTCTACAACAGAGACACCTGGGCTGTGACCTGAAGGGTGCCCTCAGGTAGGGTAAGGCAAGGGAAGCCTGGGGAGAGAAATGAAGGCAGGCTCATGGAAGGAAGTGGAAACAGGGCAGTGTGGGTGGGGACACTGAGCAAAGGGAAATGGGAAGAAATGAGGCTGCTGGAGTGAGCTGGGGTCTGGGTGGCCATAGTGAGGATTTCGGATTGTATCCTAAGTGTGGTGGAAGGGTTTGGAGCAGGGGAATGAGGCAATCTGATTTATGTTCTTAAAAAATCACTCTGGCTGCTAAAAGAATGGATGGGGCTGGGGGCCAGGGATAGAAGCAGAGAGAGCTACTGGGAGGCTACCTGGCAATAGCCCAGGCAAGAAGACACGAAGCTGAGTTAGAACAGGGTGGTGAATTCAGGGCACACACTTCGACCATTCATTCCTCTGTTCTTTACACTGGGTGACTGAAACAGTGTTCCCTGCCCCCTCCTTGCACACAAACTCCAGGAGGGACTCATCTTTGGATCCCCAGAGCCTAGAACAGTGCTGACACAGAGCAAGATCGCTTATTGGATGAGCAAAGAAAACAGGAGCTCTAAGTGGCACATGACCTATATAAGTGGGGTAGAAACCACACAGTGCGGGCCCTGAGGTCCCCCGTTTCCTGACATTCCACACAGAAAAATTAGTCCCTGGGAGCCAAGCTCTGAAATCAACCATTTCAGATGAGAGCAGAGCCACAATAGACCCTCCTCACCCTCAACAAGCAACTCCAAGGCCCAGTAACAGGACGAGAAGCTGAAAAATGTACAAACTGATGGGAGATGAGGAGTGAGGACCTGCAGTTTCGAATGAGCTGCATCCATTGGGAACCGCCTCTGCACTGGCTGAGTCCACCCAACACTAAAGCAGGCCCCGCGGTGAGGCAGGAGCGTGCAGGGTTTCATGTGCAGTGAGCAGTCGCGGGTGCTTTGTTCACCTCCGCTTGTCATCCTCAGCAGAAAAGAACTCTGGGGACTCTCCCTTCCAGCCTCAAAGACACGTCAGTAAAGGTGTTCTGCTCTGCTACAGGTAATATACAAGCCGAAGGACTGACTGTATCCACTCCTTCATGTTCTCAGGGTCTCATGTGACCCTGGCCTGGCATCTCCCTTAGCAGAGCCCCTCCCTCACCCCAGAAAGGAAGCTCAAAGCACAGACCCTGATCCACAGAACCGCCTCTTCCAAGATTCAGAAGGATGACGATTCTGTGTTCAGGGTCCGGGTCTCTGCCGCTTTCTCCCTCCCAAGACTTGGCTACCAACACATCCATCCTTCCCCCCATGTCCCTCTCCCCCTTTGTCATCCTCCTCTCTCCCTCTCTCTCTAAACATCCCAAAGGCAGTGACAGCAGAGGCACTAATATTTTCAAAGATGGTGGAAAAGTCTCCCAAGGGAAGAGCCTCTGTGTGCGAAGTCACCACCAAAGACCCAGAATGGCTCCCAGGCCTGAGAGAGAGAGAATTATGTTAACGTCACTCAATTAGGGGGTGCCAATCAGAAGGGACACACTAGTCATAAATGGAGTGAAAGAAAAGGAGTCTGGGCCCAGCTGGGCATGGCTCAGCGGTTGAGCGTCGACCAGGGATCCAGGCGATCAGGGTTCGATTCCCGGTCAGGGCACATGACCGGTTGTGGGCTCGATCAATGACTCTCTCATCATTGATGTTTCTCTCTCTCTCTCTCTCCCTCTCCTTTCCTCTCTCTGAAATCAATAAAGATTTTTTTTTTTTAATTTAAAAAAAGAAGAAAAAAAAGAAAGGAGTCTGGGAAAGACATCTTGGCCGTGCCCGGTGCTGCCCAAGGAAGGATCTCCCTGCAGGCAGGCTGGTCCCAGCACCACCTGGGCACGTGCCTGCCACGGAAATGGGGCATCAGGCCAGGAGGGACTGGATGCAATCTGGCATTTCAATCGGGTAATGGATTCCCCAGCTCTGATTCCAGTGTCTTCATGCAGCCGTGGATTAATCTGCCTCCCATGCTATGCTCCAGCTGACATTTGTCCCTCAGGTTTTCACAGCTTCCAAGACTCCTGACAGCTCTGTTACTGTAGTAAATGAAAAGTTGGCAGACTGGCTCCTGCACAGCCTCTCTGGTGAGGGCAATCAGATAAGCTGGAGCTTGACTCCCATCAACAGTGACAAGATGGAGCCTCTGGGTCTGCGAGGATGACAGCCAGAGGTGGGGCTGTGGGAAACCTGCCAGAGGGATGTCTTCTCTTGAGGACCCTCAAGGATCCTGGAAGCTGCCCAGGAGCTACTTCCCCTAGAGGCACTCGTCTACAGAAAGCCCAGAGGGAGGAAGAGTGCCGGGTTCTGTAAGACCAAACCCAAAATTGAATGGCAAACAGCATTCTGGAGCAGCCAACCATCTGCCCCCAGCACCTGATGGTTAGAGGAGCCCAGTTAAGAAATGAAAAGGCCACTGGAAACAAAATAGACTGTCTAGTGCATGCACCTAACAGACCTGCATGCTACACACCACAACTGAAAGGTGCCTCTGGGGGCAGCCGGACAAGGTGAATGGGGACCTGGGTCATGACCTAGAAGCCATGAACAAACCCTAGAAACTTGCCAGTGGTCCCAGGCATGCATTAGGACCACCTGCTCTCTGTAAACCCCCGCTCCCCTCTCAGACATTCCGTCCCCATCTGCACAGCCACTAAATAGATAGTAGCAAAGCAACCATCCCCCAACCCCTGGACTCTTGGACCAAGGACAGTCATCTGAGTGAAAGGAGGTAACGGTGGTGACCTGGCCTGCAGACACAAGCAAGGCTGGCCAGACTGTCCACCCCTCTTGGAGATTTCAACTGGACCCAGAGAGAAGTGCTGGCTGGGATGGACGGTCACAGGGCTGAGGCAATGGTGTTGGCACCTCAGCCAAGTACAGGCCAAAGGGGAGGGGGTGAAAATGGAGAGGGAGCAAAGATGGACCAGGAGATGGGAAAGGGGGGCACAGAGTGAGAAAGATGACATGACCCTGCCAGGTCAGGAGCCCTCTCCATTCTGGTCCAGCTCCCAGGCCCATGGCTGCCCACAGATGCCCTATCACATCACTGCTGCAATGTCAGCAGGAGCCTCATGGGGCCTCAGCATGTACTTGGCACCCTTCCCCACATGAACTGAGGGAATCTCACCACGAATCTGAGAGGAATGATATAGTAATGGCCACCCCTTCCTCCTGGGCTGTGCTCAAGAGTGAACAAGTGAGTCTATCAGTCGATCACCTTACAGTCCTGGACTCCCTTTCAGGGTGTGGTAAGTGCTGGCCACCTTATTACCGTCACCCACTTTCCAGAAGAGGAGGCCAGCCTGTTGGACAGGTCACTCAGCCATCCTTGCTCATTAACCTCCATGTGCACCAGGAATACACCGCTCAGAGCGGTACCCTGCTCCTGTTCCCGCAGCCTCCTAGAGGTGGGACTGAACTGACCCCCACTCTAAACTGCTGCCAGTCCACGCCCCACCCACCTCTGAACAGGAGCTGGTTTGAGTGGCTTTCTGCTCCCTGCACAGTGACAAGTACCACAGTCTATCATCTGGTTCAGAACGTCAACAGCTTCCTGAGCAGTTGGTAGGCCCCGTCCGTTTTTTAAACCTGGCCCTGGGAAGACGTCAGGGGAGTGCTGGGGGGAACACAGCCTCGCTGACCTGGGGGTGCTGTGGAGAAATGCCGGGCACTGAGTCAGCTGCACTGCACACCTGCTCCTCTGGGCGAGCTGGGCTAGTGCACGTCCCACCATCACCACTCCCGTGACCCGCCCTAGCTAAAGAACACACTAACAAACCACACACACACACATGCTCAATGGCACAAAACGGGCCACAACAGCTATCCCTCCACAGGCAGGTTTTAAGCAAGCTACTCCCTGATCTCGAGCACTTTGCTACAAAGGGTGCCAGGGCCTTTACAGCTATGGGTTCTGCGACCTCCCTTCTCCAAAGAGGCAAAAATAATGGTCACCCTTTGTGGTCAGCTTGTACAGGACCAAGTTCAACAAATCGCTAGCAAGAAGAGAAGCAGACCTGAGGGCTCCCTGGTGACTTGCCAACACTCACTCAGGCAAGGGAACCCCAAAATACCCAGGTTCACCAGGAAGTAAAGTCACACCCTCTGTCACTCTGAACCTCAGCAGGCCCTCCTGCTCTGAAGCCTGGGGCTCCTTGCTCCCACACCTATAGGCAGAGGTGACCCAGACACCCCTGAGGTTCTCAGAGCCAACGCTTGTACTGGAGGAAGAGTAGTCAGGAAGCACCCACCTGCAGGGCTGAAGGAGCCCACTCTACTGACTGGAAAGAGGACATCGGTGTCACCATGCAGCACCTGCAGTGGAGCCCAGCTGTGCATCTGGGAGAGGCAGGTGTTCCCGTCCAGTGGCCTATGATGAAAGAATACAGTTGTGTGAAAGGGTGAAGGGCCCCTGAGGGCGCAGATCACCACAAGCATCTGCTGGGCCTCCCACAAGTTCCTTCTTGGAAACTAACCAGGCCATGACAGGGCTGGGCATAGCAGGAGATGCAGCTGGGAGTGGGGAGCATGGAGACTGGAGCCAGACCCCTTGCCTTTGTTTGTTCAGCCACTGTTTACTGAGCATCTACTATATGCCAGGCAGTGTACAGCACATATGTTTTGTGCTGGCAAAAGAGCCAGCACACAGTGCTTATCCTGCTCTCATGGAGCTTAGTGTGTTGGGGGACATAGACGTGAATCAAATAAACCCCCTAGAAGGTGTAAAACAGCAGCTCAGCTTCCTGGAGCTGGTCAGGAAGGTCATGGAAGGCTTCCTGGAAGAAGAGAAGTTTGAGGTGAGAGCTGAAGGAAGCACAAGAGTCACTTGAGTGAAGAGGAGTGACAAAAGGTATGGGGGACATGGACAGCACACGCAAAGTGCTGAAGGAGGAAGCATGGTGTGTTCCAGGTTCTGAAATGACGGCAGCCACGTGACCTTGGGCTGGCATCATTGCATCTCACTGGATCTCAAACCCTCTCCGGTAAAAGAGCAAAATGAGACCAGACCCTATCTGGGTCCTGTCCAAGAAAGGGGTCGGCTCAAACATTAACCAGGCTCATATGATCTGTTATATTGTCACCGTAGCCACTAAGTTCAGAATTAACCTGTGCGATCTTTGTAATAACAGGCTGGCATGATTAAATTTGTTTGAGAAACTATTTGCCTCTGGGCAAGCGGGAAATACTAATAGGATGTACTGTGCTGACTTTAAAGACTATAAACTCACTCTGTAACTCAGCTGTAAAGAAGACCAAAGCAGGTCAGAATCACACCTATTTAGCAGAGGAGGAGCGGGCAGGGAGAGGGAAGGACAAAGCAAAAGGAGGGAAGGGGGGAGGAGGAAAGGGAGGGAAAAAGGAAGGGAGGGGGGAAAACTCGGAGATTCTGTGACTTGTCCAAGGTCATCAGCCTTAAAGACAGAGCGAACGAAGGCCTGTGGGGGACTCAAGCACAGGTCTTCCAAATCCAGGAACAAGGGGTCTCCTGGCTACTGCCTACCATGGCATGATGCAGTTTTTCTTTCTTTCTTTGGAGCAGATATCAACAAAACTTTTCTGTAAAGGACCAGATAGCAAATAGTTTAGGCTTTGAGGCCATACTTATTCTTCTTTGAGTTTTTTGCTTGTTTAACCCTTTCAAAACGTAACAAACAACCATTCTTAGATTGTCGGGGATCTGGCCAGCAGGTGTACTTGGCCATCTCCCATTTTAGAGACCATCATATAGACACTCTGCTTTCAGCCCTCTCTAGCTTTTGGTCATCCATTTGGCACTGAACAAAAGCCTCAGAATTTTGCAAACTGTATCATTTAATCCTGCAGGTAACACATACAATGAGACTCTCAGATGGCACTCTAGGGCACAAAAGAGGAAGGCCCATTCTTAGATGGACTTGGCTGTGCCCCTAGAAACTGTGCAGAACCGCCTTCCTCGGGCTCCAGACCAGCAACTGGCAACTAAGGGGACTCCCCAGGACACCTATAGGTGGTCAGGGCACCCCTCAGGAGAAGGCAGCTAAACCACCTGTCCCTTCCCTGCCACTGCACTGCCTCCAGGGGAGTGGGACCTTCTGCTGTTTCTGAGGGGACATCTTGCCCCTTCCCAGCAAAATATGCAGGGTGCAGGGGTCAGCCAGGCCTTAGCAGCTGAGATTTGGAGCCCATGTGAAAGTGGCCAAGGGCTACTACCTTAAAACTGAGCTATACTGGTTCCTGAGGCAGAGACCAATTCACAATATGGTGCCAGTGTTGGCTTAACAACATAAAGCAAGTGTTGCTTTTCATTAGAAACGGGAAACACATTGTAAAACCTAGAAAATGTTCAAAAGATGAGGGGGGAAAATTACACCCAAAGCCACATTATCCAAAACACAACTGATTTAGACACTATTTCCTTAGTGTCTTTTTTCTTTCTTTCTTATGCATATTTTTCTTCACGAGGTCATAATGAAACTAAACGTAGGACTGTATATGTGGCTTGTCTCATTCAATATAACTCACAAGTTCATCTTCATACTGCTTGGATATTCTTACACTTCATTAGAAAGGTTTAAGATCCTAAACATTAAGATGTCGAGGTTCACGGGACAGGATATTGTTAACCGCTCCTTCGCGGTTGCACATCTAGGTCAGCTCCAATGTTCTGCTTCTCTAAATAAGGACTTTGGTATCTGGACACAGCATCCTTCTTCCTGAGGCTGCCCTCAGGCCAGATCCCTGGCAGTGGGATTGCTAAATCAACTGAGATCAGCATTTTTAAGGCTGCTGGCATTGTGTTTTCCCAGAGGGCTGCCAACACTACCAGCTAACAATGAAGATGCCCCTGTGCCTGCCTTGTCACATCACTCATTCCACAGTTAGAGCCTACTGTGTGCCTGGAGGATACCAAGCCTGAGGAGACACCCAGAGCAGGCCACGGTCAGGGCACTAACCAGGGCTTGGCTTTTTCCAGGTCTCACTTTATTTATTTATATTTTTATCCTAACCCCGGGATATTTTTTCCATTGCTTTTCAGAGTGGAAGGGGGAAATGGAGCGGGAGGAGAGAAACACCAATGTGAGACACATCGATTGGTTGCCTCCTGCACTCACTCCGACCGGGGGCCAGAGAGAGCCTGCAACCGAGGCATGTGCCCTTGACCAAAATCGAACCCGAGACCCTTCAGTCCACGGGCCGATGCTCTAACCTCTGAGCCAAATGGTCCAGGGCCATGTCGTACTTTAAGTCTCAGCAAATATGACAGGCAAACTATGGTATCTGCTTTCACTTTGCATTTGCTTAATTGCTGGTGAGGTACAACATGTTCCCATATGTTTGTCATCCTTTCTGAATTATGTTTTCACCCCATTTCCCAACTGGTCTCATAGAACACATATGAAATGACAGAAAAACTCCTTTCTACAATAAAGGTATTATCCTCTTTAGAAAAAAAAGAAAAAGGAAAAAAAGCAAAGCCAATACTTGTAAATACTGAGGCAGGAGGGACAAGACTTTGCTCAGTCATCAAAGAAGCCGTTTAATTGCTAGCAAACAGAGGCATAAGACCCAACTTTTGGCCAACAGAGCATCTTAAAGACCATCAGAGCACCAGCTTTGCCAGAGGTGGTGGCAGACCACACTGTACTTCTCCAGGCCTGGCCTGGCCACTCCCCTCATAAACCTGGTTGTGCTATTAAACTGCTCAAGTTCTGGCCCCCTCAGGCTCCTAGACCTTTCATGTGAACATCATCTTACAATCAAAATGAAAGTATTACTCAGTAGGCCACCTCATCATTCCTCTGCTCTTCCCCTTCCCCCAAGATGCTCTGTAGAATGTTCGCTCAAGACCCCCCCTTCATGCAGGAGAGGCTGTCCAGAATCTGCAGGAAGCTCAATGGCCTCAAAGAGCCATGGTCTGTAAAGGTCACCCTGCACTGTTTTGTGTTTTACACATCACAATGCTGGCAGCTACCTTGGCTTGCAAGGTGGCCTCCCCTCCAGACTCCCCTCAATGGCACCAGTCATTAGGAAGAGAAATGACTGTGTTTGAGGCCAATGAAAGCCCACGAAGTGGATCAACTCAGAGATGCACTCACCAAAGAGACAAAGAATGCAAATGACATTTCCTGAAAGGTCCAGATTAAGACTAAAGGCAAGTGTGATGGTGAATTTTAAGTGTCAACTTGGCAATGCCATGGTAGCCAGACAAATGATCAAATGGTATTCTAGATGTTCCTGGGAAGGTACTTTTCAGATGAGATTAACACTTAAATCAGCAGATTTTGAGTAAAGCAGGCCACCCTCCATAATTTGGGTGGGCTTCACCTCATCAGTTAAGGCCTTCATAGAAAAAGACTGAGGTTCCCCAAAGAAGAAGAAATTCTGCCAGCAGACTGCCTTAGGACTCGAACTACAACTCTTCCTTAGACCTTCCTTGGGCCAGCTGACCCTGCAGATTCTGGATTTGTCAAACTTCCACAATCACATGAGCCAATTCCTTAAAATAAATCTCTCTAGACAGCTAGATACATGGAGAGACACACAGACACACATACTCTATTGGTCCTGTTTCTCTGGAGAACCCTGACTAATACAGCCCATCACAAGACCTGCATCCCAGGAACAAAAACACTCACAGCCTGGCAACAAAACAAGCTGCAGGGAAGCTACTCTAACAAATACTTTAGAAGGAGAAAAAAGCCTCGTACATGAAAATGCTCATGCCACAGCTCATGCTGATAACAAAAAAGCAAAAACAGACAATGATGCCAACAACAGAAATACTCAACAATGGGGGAACCTTTAGCAAATCATGACATATTGATCTGACTGAAAATCAACCATTCAATATTCAGAATTATGTAGAAACATGAAAAATGTCCAATAGTACAGCATAAACTATGGAGTACAGCATAATCTAACCTTAACCGAGCTTTGTTCATTGCTTTGACAAACCTCAACTCTCTACGAATCCCATTCTCTCATCCATCAAGTGGGAGTGATATCCACTAACCTAAGGACTAGGATAAGGCATATATATAGCTTGTAGCATCTGGCATATCAGATGGTCATTAAGATAATATTATTGCCCTGGCAGGTGTTGCTCAGTGCTTAGAGCATCAGCCCAAACACCAAAGGGTCTCGGGTTCAATTCCCAGTCAAGGGCACGTACCTGGGTTGCAGATTTGATGCCCAGCAGCAACCAATCAATGTGAGATCTCTCTTACATCAATGTTTCTCTCCTCTCTCTCTCTCTCCCTCTCCTCCCTCCCACTCTCTAAAAAAAATCAATGAGAAAAATATCCTTGGGCGAGGATTAACCAAAAAACCAAAAACATGAAAATGGAAAGCTTAGGGCTAAGACATTGTTTCCCTCAATCACACCATAGAATCTCGGTATCTGTTTCACTCTCGTGGGCTGGTTTTGAAGTCATTGTGATCAGGATGGCATTGTGCACTGTAACACACCTAAGTGAAGAGGTAACTAAGCTATTTGGTATGAAGAGTAAAACTAAGCTTAGGAGCTATTACAAGAGTAGTGTGACAGCAGCAGATGACCTGTGTTGCCTTTCTCCACGTGCCAGCACCATGCAGACAGGCCACATACAGTATCCCATTACTTCTCCCGGGTCTCCGATGAGGCCCGAGACACTGGGAGGTGAAGAAATTTGTCCAGCCTAACCCATGGAGCTAGTAAATGAGGACACAGATTGTCTTCATTCCAAAATCCAAGCTCTTAGCTATACCTTTTTGCTTTATGCCTTCACGTGCATCAAGCCCCTTCCACAGGCATAAATCTACAACTCGTGTTAACACAACAAGTGCAGGCAAATTACTGCTGTTCATGCCCCTTCAGATAAACACAGAAGTTACCAGCCCATGACTATTTTCTAGAATAATCTTGCCTTTTTCCTGAGCTTCCTATGCTAGTGGCAAGTTAAAGATGGAGGGAAATCTAGAAAACAAAAATGAAAGATGTATATATAAAGCAGAAATTTCAAGGCACACATCTTGATACTAATTTTGTAATAAGTACCTTCAAATATACTCCCTTCCCTCTCTTAGTTCTCAGCAGGCTAATAATGCTCCTTCCTCCTAAATCAAGATCTGAAAAATGCATGATGCCCTAAACAAATATAAATCTTGCATCCTTATTTTACCCAATACTGCAAAAAGAGAAGGCAGTTAATGTACCACCCTTCATTAAGATCTCAAATGGAACTTACTTCTCAGGTGACTCTGAGTGGCCTGTGTGCTTCCTTCCTGATGTGTACACATCGTCTTCGTTGTCATCCACATCTTCATCATCGATGCTTTTCACATCAAGCTTCTGGTACCCAAACTCCCCATTCAAAGACAGAGAATCAATTTTCCATGAGTTGCTGCTCTGGCTTCCATTGGAATTAGGCCCAAAGGGGCTTTCAAACGCCGACATGATATTGACCGAGGAGCGGTCGGAGTTCTCCTCCGAGCTCTCCCCAGTCCCAGGTATCTTTTTAAAAACATCACCAGAGTTCTGCTCATCTTCCTCGTCATCAAATGAGATAATGTTGGTCACCTTCTTTTTCTTCTTCCGTTCCTTTTTACATTTGGCATCTGGCAAAAGACAAGATGTATGAGAAAAGGTAGGTGAGATAAAGGGGTGATTTAGCCATCTTGACTCTAGATTGTGGAAAATCCTTTACTACTCTACTGACAAATAAATTGTAAGCTAAATTCGGATATTTTTAAATCCTTGGGAAAACAACTGTTTACAGGTGACTGAGCAAAATGGATGTGGGCCTCTACTTCTGATTTAAACAATTTTTGGATATGTATCCTCAGGAAAGGGAAACAAAAAATAATAATAAAAAAATGAGACTATGACAAAACTAAAAATTTTTTTGCACAATGAAGGAAACCATCAACAAAACAAAAAGACAACCTACTGAATGGGAGAAGATATTCACCAATGATATATCCAATAAGGGGTTAATATCCAAAATATATAAGGAATTCATGTAAGTAAACACCAAAACAACAAATAAATTAAAAAATGGACAGAGGACCTGAATAGACACTTCTACAAAGAGGACATACAGGTGGCCAATAGACACATGAAAAGATGCTCAACATAAATCATCAGAGAGATGCAAATTAAAACCACAATGAGGTGTCACCTCACACCTGTCAGAATGGCTGCCATCAACAAATCAACAAACAACAAGTGTTGGCGAGGATATGGAGAAAAGGGAACCCTTGCGCACTGTTGGTGGGTTTGTAAATTGCAGCCACTATGCAAAACAGTATGGAAGCTCCTCAAAATTTTTAAAATATAACTACCTTATCACCCAGCAATTCTATTTCTGGGAATCTATCTGAAGAAATCCAATATACAAATTTGAAAAGATGTTTGCACCCCTATGTTCACTGCAGCATTCCTCACAATAGCCGAGATATGGAAGCAATCTAAAGTCTATCAATAGACAAGTGCATAAAGAGGATGTGGTACACATATGGAATATTACTCAGCCATAAAAAAGAATAAAATCTGACCTTTTGCAACAACATGGATGGACCTAGAGGGTATTATGCTAAGTGAAATAAATCAGACAGAGAAAGACAAACATTTTATGGTTTCTTTTACATGTAGAATCTAAAATACAAAATAAACAAACAAAACAGAAACAGACTTATAGATACAGAGAACAAATTGATAGTTGCCAGACGGGAGAAAGGTGAGGGGATGTGTGAAAATGGTGAAAGGGATTAAGAAGTACAAACTGCCAGTTATAAAAATAGTCATGGAATATAAAGTACAGCATAGGGAATAAATTCAGTAATATTGTAGTAACTATGTATGGTGTCAGGCAGGTACTAGACTTACCCAGGGGGTGGTGATCACTTCATAAGGTATATAAATGTTTAACCACTATGTGTACACCTGAAACTACTAATATAACATGTCAACAGTTATTGAAAAATAAATATTTTAAAATAAGTAATTTTTAAAATATGCCACAGAGCACATGTTAAAATTTTTCCTTCTAAACAATCCTTCTAAGCACTTTGATCCAAAGGATATTATCATTATTGAAATGATTTTCATTGTTTCACTTTGAAAAATACTCTCATGGCTAATAGATGAAACCAAGAAAACCCCCAAGTTTGGGGATGTAGTAAATTGTTCAATGACCACAAATTCCTCCCATCCCTACATAATGCCCCTTTACAATGGGACTCTGCCACTCCTTCCACTGAGGGTGTACATATTTCTCTCCCCCCTCCTGAATCTGGGCTGGCTTAGTGTTCTGCCTTTACCAGTGGAATGTGGCAGAAATAACAGTGTGTAAGCGTTCTAGGCATCAGGAGGTCTTGCACCCTCTTGAAATCCTGCCTTGAAACTGCCATGGAAGAAATCTGATTTATCTTATTGGAGGATGACAGGCCCTGTGCAGGAAGACTGACATGCCCCAACCAATAGTCAACACCACTTCCAGACACATGAGTGGGGCCATCTTGAATCTTCCAGCTCAGCCACCAGCTGAATGCAGCCCCACGAGTAAGCCCAGGTGACACCAGCAGAAAAACCATCCTGCCAAGCCACAGAATCATTAAAAAATAACAAGTCATGGCTGTCTTAAGCCACTACATTTTTGGAATTGTTTGTTATACAGCAAAGGCTGACAGAAACAAAAATTAAGATTACTTTGGTGACCAGTACTTAGGTGAGCCAGTTTACCCATCTTAATCATCAAATGTGGGTGTGAGACACTTTGAACCGATTCCCAAAACTCTATTCCATCTAAACCAAGGTATGACATGCTTCGCCACTGTATTACAGCCCCAGGACAATGTCAAAAGCAGAGTCCCCAAAGTGAATGGAAAGGATATGCTTTGGGTATACAAATTCCACTGTCTCTGTTACACAAAGCCCTCAACAGTCCTGTTTCTATGTCATTCACATGGGTCTCTGCTTAGGGAGGAAAGGGTACACAGATAAAACCAGTGTATGCCGAAGACACCATAAGATTCTGAGCTTTCACCATCATTAATAATCCCAAATGGATGGCCATGATTACTGTCTTAAGGGATTTGAGAATACCAGGACTAAGTACTAAACCCAAAATTGCCAATTTTGCTGTAGCAACATTCTGGATGTCCCAGAAGGCTCAACAAGTATTGTAAATGTGTCCCAAAATTAATCTTAATCAATCAATTAATGAATCCCTTTCCCTGGCCCCCACTTAAATGTCTTCCCCCAAAAAAGAGGCAAGCCTAATATTATACACTCTCCACAGCACCCTACGCTTGGCTTCCATCCCATTTATCAGAAGGATTATTAATTATTTGTATAATTTGCCATTAAATGTCTACCCCCACTCATCCCAAAGAAGACTGATAGCTGAATACTGGTAATGTGCTTTACCTGGCTCACTGCCTAACACACAGAATGCATTAAGTGAACAAACGAATAAATGGACAAAGGAGTAAATGAATGAAGATCAAACTTATCTGACTTCACGTGGCATTAATGCCCTTCCTTTCAGTTCACTCTGACAGAGCCCTTTGCTCTTTTACCCTATCATGTTCCCATCTAGGTAAGGCTCTTTCCCAGTAAGGGTAAAAATAATAAAAACAAACATGAACTGAAAAGGCAAGTGCGTCAGATTTCATCCCCCTTGGCACTCTCCGGTGACCAGGTATGTCCACTTTGGCCACAGTCTTTGTCCTTTACCCGACCCCCATTCTACCTCGAATGCTTGTTCTGGCTTACCGGCACTGACGTGCTTGGACATGACGGGCAGGGGGTCGGTCTCCTGATCAGGTTTGATGAGGATGGAGACAGCAGAGGAAGCCGTGATCTCCCGGAAAAGGCTGCTCACCCCTTGCGTGGACTCCTTCAGTAAGGAGGTCACATTTTGCGTAGACTCCTTTAAGAGGTCCGAGACGGTAGGAGCAAACTTGCTCTGCCCATTTAAGTCCTTGTTGTCAATGTTGATTGCGAAGAGTATGGAGTTCAGACCTTCCCCACAAAGAGAAAAGTGTGGCATGTGTGCTGCTGGACAGTCACACCTCCAACACAATAAACAAGCTGCAGACATCACAGCACAGAGGAAGGGACACACTGACCTTAAATGCTAATTAGAACCTCCTGCAACTGGGGTGAGAGGACTAGCTATCACGGGAGCTGAGTCATTCCAAATTCTCCCCCTCTCTGTCAGGAGAGAGGCTAAGCCGAAAGTTCTGAGGTCAGGCTGCCTAGGGTGAATCACAGCACTGCCACGTATGAGCTATGAGACCTTGGTCAAGCCATTTATAACATCTCTGAGCTTTAGTTTTCTTATCTGTAAAATGGAGATACAATATCTCTTTCACAAGGTAAGTATTAAAACCATCACCCACCAAAACACTCAGCTCAGTAAGCAATCACAAAAGGTGCACCAATGTAATTTTTATCATTACTTATGCAAAAACTTGCACTGGTTTCCCATGGCCGACAGAGGAAACCATGGTGGGACCCTGACTCTTCCTCACCAACGACCTAGACTAACACAGCTCTCAATATGTGGGGCTTGGCGCAAACTTTAAGAAAAAAAAAGGGGACAAAGGATTTGGAAGAAAGAAGCAAGTTGCCCACTTCTGTCATGTTGTTTCACCCTTAGAGTGAGAGTCAAACAGTGAACAATTCACTAACCAAACCACTCCAGGGCTTTCACATTCACAGACAGTGTACATGACTCTTCATCACATTTGATTCTCCCACAGCCCTATAAAGGTGATGGCCGTGCCATCAGGATCCCCACCTCACAAAGGAGGAAAGAAAAATGTAAAAAAGCTCACAGGCTCTGCCCCAGGTCACCAGCTGGTAAGGGGTCATGCCAGGCTTCAAAGGCAAGGTCTCCTGCCTCCAATTCCCCAGGTCTTTATGTTACACTTGCAAAGCCACAATCCAAAACCCTCAACCCCATGCTCTCCCTGCCAGGGTATCAAATTCTAAATAAATGGACTAAGTGCTCAATGCCATTCAAGGAACGACAGTGGCAAGTGACTCAAGTTGCTGAGGGACAGGGAGAATCACAGCATCCCTGGAACTATAAATTCACTCCCAAGCAGCCTCCTCTGCTCACCAAGCTTCACAGGACCCATCTCCCCTGGCCTTGCCCTGGCTTACCAGCCGCCATGGTAGGAAGCATGCTAGACCTTTCTTCGTCCATCACAAAAGACCAGTCTTCATAAAAAGTGCTGCAAATTGAAAGAGAAAGAAAAATAGACTCTGAATAGTGGGTCTCTGCATCCATTAGCTAGACAGACAATTCCATTCCGTTATATGGCTTCTTGAAAAATCCATGCCTGGTCATCGCAGAGTGGATGCAGGAGGTCTCTGCTGGGCTGAAGCTTCTGCTTATAAACTAAGGATTGACTGCATATACCCTATGACTTCCTCATTGGTCCCCCGAGATCTTTAGAGTCCCCTGCGCTTGACAGTCCTGAAATAGGCATGAGATGTAAATGTGATGCTTATGAAGCAGCAAAGCAGAAGGGACAGAGGGGTGACTTCCAAGCAAGCAAGGTTTCCAAAAGACATGCAGGAAGTACAAGCTAGCCCACAGGGTCCCCCTGACTGGGCTAACACAAGAAGAAAGCATTTCAGAAAGAAATTACAGAGCTCCATGGCTCCATCAACCAGAGCATTTGTATGTAATACCTGCTTGGGCTAAAGTCCCAAAAGCCCAAATTATCCTGGGAAGGGCTAGGAAGCTAAAAAGTCCCCACAAATCTAAGTTGGGGGAGCGGGGACAGAGATGCCTACAGAGTCTGTCCAAGGTTATCCAGCAATAAATGGAGCTCAAAAGCAGGTCTCCCAGTCCAATTACCCAGCTCTTTATCCAGCCCGCTCCCCTGCTAAGCAGTAATAAGCAAATATCCTCAATCCCCTGATTTCCCTACCAGGTCAGACAACTCTAAATTAGTGAAGTCAGAGTTTAATTTCACTAAAGCACATTCAGTGGTGAGTGACCCATAGTTCGGCAGGAGAGTGGACACAGCTGCTGAAGGGGCTGAATACAACTAACAGAGAGAGGAGATGTATCCTGTTCAACACCTAGCAGAATGGTAGGGGAAGCACAAACCACATGTCCAAGCTGGCACGGCAACAGTACCTCTGAGTCCCAAAATTTTGACTCTTTAAAAATCTGAATCAGTTTTCATGCACAGAAATGAATTTGGTTTCCCCAGATCAAAGTAGGTTGAAGTGACTAGTGATTTAGGTAAATTCAACTGTGATTCTTAACAGCTGGATTCACTTCAACTGCTCACTGTTAAGTTCAACTTTGATGTGGGGCGTACAACTCGGAACTACTTGCAAGCAATGTGGTGGACAGAGCTTGACAGAATTCATTTTCAGGAACAGGAGTATGTTCTCCTTAACTAAAGCTGGTTAAGCTCGGGAGGTCCATGCAGACATTCGCCTCAGACCCTGGCCAGCACACGGGCACAGGCAGCCCCAGTCATCCTGGCCCTCATCCCTCCCTTTTCAGACCCACAAAGCCTGAACATACAACTGGACAAAGCATCACAGGCAACATCAATGGGAGAACTTCAAGGGCATTTGTAAGAGCCCTAGCGTACAATCCCAGAATGCCTCACAAATTACCAGCAGAGAGGTGACCATAAGGGGCAGAAGAAACAGAGGAGAGACTTAAGCCAGGGAACGCACGGCAAAGGTATGAAATCACAGGAATGCATCACCACACTAATGAAAGACTTATTGTACTAAATGGAATTTCACTGTTGAGGATCTGGGCACTGCAGATGTGGAAATTAATCAAGGGACCGGGGCAGGATTGATCACTGTCCCTTTGTATCATTCGGTGACACAAAACTACATGTCTGGGCCATCATTTTCAGAGGGAAAATAACAGCGAAAGTCAGAGATAGAGACTGGGAGAGACAAACATCATAAACATCATGAGCACAGGAAAAATGACAGGACTGTCAATGTGTTTGGAGAAAATGTGGCTGACTATACTATCACTGATGCATGTCCAGTGCCCTTTCCCCATCGCTGTGGCATAACCACACCTCTCCACCCTGCTGAGCTTGCCTGGGGCCATGCAACTTGCTGGCCAGGGAAATGTGAATGGAGGTGAAGTATCACTTTAGGCAGAAGCTTTAAGAGCCACTGCTTAGTTCAACCACATCTCCATAGAGATGGAGCCTCCGTGAGCCTGGGTCCCGGAGATGAGAATCCCTATTCACCCATGACAGACATGAAGCAGAGGGAAGACATAAACTCGGCCATCTCAAGCCACTGCAGTTTTCATGATGTTTGTTATGGCAGAATAACTTGGCCTGTGCTACCTGATAGAATGAACTCGATGATCAAGAAAAAATAATTAAAAAAATAAAATGGGGGCTTGTTTCTTAATAACAAATGACTCCTCTCCTCAATTTAAAGCTTCCCTATTCTTTCAGTCAGAATGGTATTGGCTGACCTCAAAAAACAAACAAACAAAACAGAGATGTAAAGACAGAACATGAAACTGGGCACTAAACATCCAACATCTGAAGAGAAATTAATTCTGAACCTGAAAGAAGCCCAAATTAAAATTCCATGAAGTAAAGAGCAGGCTGTGTCGTATGACAACAGCTCTCTCCACCCCCCAGCCTTAATAATAATTAGCATTTATTGAGTGCTTGCTATGTGCAGGTGCTATGCTAAGCCCTTTACAGGCCTTCTCTCACTTAACAAATGGGGCTGTGAGAAGGAACCCAGTTGCCCCAGACAGTGGGCCTGGGATGCAAATCCACCAGATTCTGTGATTATAACCACTCCCCTACACCCCCTCCCAGAAGCCCACCAGCCAGGTACCTGAGCCTGCTGCGGTCGGCCAGAAGCGTGTGCAGGTAGCGCTCTAGCGAGTGTTCGTTGAGGGCACAGCGCAGCCAGGCCCGGCCTCGGCCCACGTCCGAGGCTATGTGGCGCAGGGAGTAGAAGCGCTGCAGCTCGTGCTTGCTGAGGACCTCCTTCACGTAGAACCAGAACACAGGCTCTGCGGAGACAGCAGGACAGGCGCTGCGGCACTTGGCCTGGGACACACATCACTTTTAGAGTAACGTTCCCTGGAATCTCTGAAGATTCTAAGAGTTACTTCCTTAGCACGGAAAAGGAAGATACCAAAGAGTATACCAAAAATAAAAATAGCCCCGAAGTTCACCACCCAAAAATAGCCACTGATAAGATTTTTAAGTATTTCCCTCCAGCCTTTTTTCCTGTACTTTTCTTTTTTATACAAAATCAACCTCTGTGGTAGGCTGACTTATAACCCCCAAGGATAGTCATGTCTTAAGTCCTGGGACCTGCAAATGTTAGTTTGTATGGCAAAAGGAGCTTTGCAGGTGTGATTCAATTAAGGGTCTTGAGAAGGAGAGATTACTGATTATTCTGGGTAGTCTCTATGGGCCATGATCATCACAAGTATCTTTATTAGAGGGGGGCAGAGGGAGACTGGACATAGAAGAAGAGGAGGTGATGTGACCAGGGAAGCAGAGATTGGAATGATGTCACCAGTATTAGCCAAGGACTGCCAGAAGCCACCAGAAGCCGAAAGAGGCAAGGAAAAGATTCTACCCTGGAGCCTCCAAAGGAACCAGCCTGCTGTCATCTTGGCTTTAGCCCAGTGAAACCGACTCTGAATTCAACCCTCCGTAAGTATAAGAAAATTAGTGTTGTTTTCAGCAATCAAGTTTGTGGTAATTTGTTATAGCAAGTAATCTGTTATAAGAAACTAATACACCATCATACTGTGTGTGTTGTATATGGCTATGTATGTATACATACACATATATACAAGGACACACACATATAACTTTGTACCCTGGTTTGTTTCTTCTCTTCTATAACATGAGCATTTTCTTGTAACATTTAAAGATCTTTGGAAACATGATTTTTGAAGGATTCCCTATTAATTTAACTATTAGTCTGCAGCTGGAAACATGATATATTGCCAATTTTCCCTATATACTGCTTTGAACATCCTTGTACATAACTGTCCTCATTTCTAGTTCTTTAGGAGAGATTTCCACAGGTCTGAGAATAGGAACAGATTTAAGGCTTTAAGGGAAAGCTAAGAAAGTTTGTTTTTATCCATTAAATAAGTCATTGTACCTCCTTACACTCCCCCTTTTTTATCCACACCAGCACAGAATTTTTTTTCTACTTGTAATTCTAGTGTATACCTAATTTTCTGATCAATTTTCTTAACATCAACACTTTTTCTTGCTGCCAATAACAGTAACAACAGCAACAGCCAACACTATTTATTGAGCCCTAATTATATACCAGCCATTGCACTAAACACTTTACATCTGACCTCAGTCCTCATAACCACCAAGGTCATCTCCATCTCTTTGACCTGGTCCAAGGCCTGGACAAGTGAAGTAACTCGCCCAGTGATACACAGTAAGCAGTACAGCAGAAAGGGGTCACAAACTATGAAGTCACACTGCCCTGCCAAGTGAGAAGGGAATCTACATTCTTTAAAATGTTCGTGCTCACAAATGCTTGACATCCTGAGGGAGAAAATGCCGAGTCTGCTGCTAGACGGGGATTCTAACTCAGGACCTAAACAGACACAAAGACCCCTCTTGAGAATGAGAAAAGATCTTTGAACCTTCCCTCCAGGAAGACACACATACACACATCTCCAAATACTGGACACCAGGTTAATACACTCACTTTAATAGTTCATCTCAGCGAGCACTGACTACCTTCTAACTGGGAGCCATGGACTGGGCGGTACAATGGGCTACCAGGCAGAGACTAGAAGGATCCGTCCCTAACAAACTTCCAGGCTAGTGGGCGGGACAACAGGTGAAGAGATTGTTCAGTGGAATGACCTGGGGCAAGTCACTCAACCATGCTAAGTTTTGGATTCCTCTCCCTTAACAAAAGCCCCAAAGTACAGAATCACCCAGGTTACTGGGATAACTGGAGAAAAGAGAGGTAAAGTGCTGTGCACAATGTCCAGTCCATGATGACTAACCATTATTTACTTAATAATTACCTCCTTATACGAGAGCATTTGCATTGTTTCCTCTTTCCCTTTTTATGTTAACAGCGTCTCAATGTCTATGTACATGAGAGTTTGTGTGCATACATACTTCTGGATCATGCCAACCTCTGGGATCATTTACAATAAACATCCCAAGAATGACTGGAAAAAATCACCAACAGGGCAGTTTGCTCAGGACAGCCTTTTGTTTCAATGCCTCATTATCAAAATAATCACATTCCCAAACCCAAACTGCACAAGTATGTTAACAGCCTTCTTTCCACTTGAGCCTCTCTCAGAAAGCAGAACAGGGGGAATTTGGTGACAGCAGTACTCTGAGTGGGCCGGCCAATAAACCTGTTTTAAAACACACCAGACAACCATCTGGATATCCAGCACCATTCACATCAAGTGACTCCCATCCGAAATCTCTCTTGAAAACTGCAGTCACCTCCCTCTGACCTTGAATGCACATAAGAACTTTAAGGTGTGTTTTCACCTTCCAATTTCACAAATTGCTTACTGCTACAGAAGCCTTCTAATGCTTGCCAGAGCGATGCTGATGATGATAAGAATTATCCCAGCAGGGCTACACTTCCACTGCCAGAATTAATGCGATCTATTTAAAGTGCAGCTCACCTGCCACTTAACACTTGCAGTGTCTGTAATTTAATTTGGAAATATAAACCAATCTCTTGCTGCTTTAAAACAAGGGGCTAATTCCAAAAGTAAGTGAGGGCTTCTCGCTCTTCCGACTTCTGAAAGCCAACCAGAACAAGAGCCAGGAAGGGGTTACTGAGGCAAGCAACTTGGGGGCCACTCATTAACATAGGATAACTAATGGCACAGGGCCTTTGGCAACATTTCTAATAGGCCTCAACTTTAATGGATGCCAAGAATTCATGCTTTGGAGACCAAAGAGGACCATACCTTGACTCAGATTCTAGTTCAGATTGTGTGACCTTGGGCAACTTATTTTGTCCTTCATCTTCCTCATCTATAAAATGGGGTCTGCTATGAGGGGGGGAAATGAGAAAATAAAGCATACATGTAAAGCGCTTAGTGCCAAGGCAAACAGCATCCCAGAAGAAAACCCTTTCTTCTGAAAGCAGCACCCCTCTTTCCTAGGGGACTGTGCTCCATTTGAAGTTGTCTCCAGAACTACCAACCTTCTCTTCCTTACCTGGGTGGGCAGGTAACCCAGGCTGGGCAATCACCTGGCCACAGCTGGCCCTAAGCCTTGACACAGCTCACCCACCCCAACCTCGTCCCAGCAGTTTAAAATTTTGTGCATGTGGATTTCTACTGTATTAATCTTGATTTTTAAAATATTGCAAGAAAATGTTATTTATATTGATTGCTAAGGGGTTTTTGTTCCCTTTCTTAACACTCTAGGTAGCTAGTGTGTTAAGAAAGGGAACAAATCGCCCTAGCCAGTTTTGCTCAGCGGTTAGAGCCGTCGGACTTCGGACTGAAAGGTCCCAGGTTTGATTCTGACCAAGGGCACATACCTCGGTCGCAGGCATTATCCCAGCCTCGTGCGGGCGGCAACCAATTAATGTCTTGCACATCAATGTTTCTCTCTCCCCCTTCCACTCTCTCTGAAAAGCAGTGGCAAAAAAATATCCTTGGGTGAGGATTTTTAAAAAAAGAAAGGGAACAAATGGAGTTGGATAGTAAGTCTGATTCACTAGGGAGCCACAGCATTCACAGGCTCCCCAGGGGACAGCCACATCCTCTGCTGAGGGGACTTAATCCCTGAGCAGGCAGGAAAAACCTCCCTAGGGGACTAACCTGTAGTGGGATTGTTGGGAGAGGAGTGGGAGAAATTCCTTTGCTAGATGCATGCTGGCCCAGGGCAGGTAAGCACACTCACAGTAGAAACCAGAGGAGGAAACAGAACTTTAAGGCATGTGCAGTAGGAGCCAAAATGGTGACATAAAGGGGCGAAGTCTAGCCTGGAAAGCCTGAGAAAAGGACCAGATTGGATACAGGGAGGACCCAGCACAAGCCTGCAAAGGATTGGGAAAGAGATTGGTTAGTTTGAAAGAAAGCCTGCTCTCTCCCAACTGAGGTAATATAACCAAAGCTTAACAAAGGCCCATCTTGGTAGCACAGGCTCACCCCTTGGTTGGTGGGCATTCTCCCTGTAGCAGCCGTGGGCTCCAAGAGCAGGCCTGAGTGTGGCAGCGCAGCACCAGCCAGAGCGCAGCCAGGAGCAGAGACTATGCTGGACTACTGGAGCCCAGAGTGATGACAGTACAGTTCAGGATCCTGACCTCCTGGTGGGTGCTTATGCTCCCTCAGCCCGGGATTTACTCCACAGCCAGGTGAAGGTAAGCCACCTGGTTGTGGATGAGACACCAGGCACCTGAGGACAGTCCTTTGTTTCTACTCCAATAAATCTTACCACTACACCTCATCTTCCTGTGTGTGGGTCCCCAAAATGCTTTTCTCATGACTTCATGAAAGAACCATACTCCCACCGACAACACTCCCATAAATTTTGTGGCTGAAGTGAGTGCCTCACTGGCTTCATCCCGGTACCAGTGCTGGACTGCAGGATCCTCCCCACAACCCAGGGTCCTCCCTACAACTTCTACCTGAACCAGGCTTTATCTCCTAGAACAGAAGTCACCAAATTCAGTCCAAGGGCCAAATTCAGCCCACCACCTGTTTATATAAGTAAAGTTTTATTGGAATACAGGCCTGCCCATTTGTTTACATATTATCTGTGGCTGCCTTCCTGCTGCAATGGCAGAGCTAGGGATTCATGAGAGACCTATGGCCTAAAGTACTTACTATCTTATCCCTTAAGGGAGAAGTTTGCCGACCACTATTCTAGAAGTAGGAGCTCTGATATCCTGTAAGCCTGAGCTACCTGGGACCTTTTCCCCCTAGCATGTAGAGCAAGCCGACCTAAGAAAGATGCCAACCTGGAGAGAAATGAGCTGAGAGAGAGAGAGAGACAAATGTGGGGGTGCTGAGCCCCTCACCAG